TTTGTGGGTATGGACCAAATTGAATGGTTACATTTGGCTTACTGTTCTTTGTTCTCTAAGATTGCTGGAAGACCCAATCAGATGAGGGATAGAGGAGGGATTCCACCTGTCAATGTTTTGTAGTTTTTTTATAATCAGTTGCTAAATAGAAACAACCCAGCAAACAAGGCTATGTTGGACCAGCGTTGTAACAATGTTCCAAATGTTTATTCAATGTTAATTCAACAGTTTAAAATTATGTGCTAGGAATATGTTTGCTCCCTATGAACCAGACTATCTTCCTATGAGCAATGTAAAAAGAGATGTGCAAACCTTGACTTAGACTTGTGTTATGGAAGTGAGATGAATGATGTAAGATTTTGAGTTCAGACAGTTTTCATGTTGAAGGAATGGTAGTTGACAAAGGATTTGAGCTGTTCCAGATTCCATTTTGTGATTATGTTCATCTGTGCAGGGTTGGCCAGTAATATATAGATATTGGTTTACTATTGATCTTATTAACTGAGAACAACAAAGAGGTCTAATTGATTGCACTGACATGTGAGCTTTCATGCTTCTGATGATGAATTTGACTTTCATGCTATCCTCACTCTTTAAAGTCAGTACATCATAGATGTCTCCCTTAATTCTAGCTCAATCTGTTTTATAGGCCTAAATATGTTTACTTTCCAGTGGAATGCTAGTATTCATACTCTACAAGCCTGATTTATATTGCTATGCTTTCAGATTGCATTATTTGCCACAGGTCAGCACTAGATGTGTGAACTTGAATTCTAACCCAATGGCTAAGTACTATTGCCCTGTAGAGGGATGTCTGATGGCTGCTGTGGAAACTGCTTGCATGAGAAAGCTCTTGAGTCATCTGAGGAAATTCCATTCATGTGACCCAAGTTTTGAAGTTGGGTGCATAGCAGAGAACTGCACCAAGCGGTTCAGTAAAGTATCATCATATGAAAAGCATGTTAATCGTCATCATTCAAATCATTTTGATTTGTCAAAATCCATGTATTCTGGTGCAGTGAGTGGCCATGATCATGAAGACCATGCTCTTGACTCTTTCATGGATGTAGAGCACTTGGAACCATCTAGTCAGGATCATGAAAGGGCTATTGGTGGTTTCATCAATTCCCAGTCTCCTAGTGATCATGAATCATCCATTGTAGGTACAGTCATTGAAGAAGAAAGTGATGAATTCAGAGTGGCATCATTAGCATTACATCTTAGAGAGGTGAAGAAAATTCCATCATCTACTGTTGCATTTATGATGGGAGAGGTAAAGTCCATTGTGGAAACTTCTTCAGCAAATCTGAAAGATGCATTTACATGTGCATCTTCTGTTTTCCGGCTTGATAAGTACGTGAAACAGAATTTCATGTTTGTGCCTCCAGAGGAAATGCTGTATGACCATGGTTTCTCAGAAACCTATCAGTATGTTTCTGTATTGAAAACTCTTAGTACTATGCTTCAGTGTAGAGGTGTACTTGAGGAAGTGCTTTGTGGGCACCAGAGTATGGATGAATTCATGCAGGACTTTCTTGATGGCAATGGTTTCAAGGGGAATAATTTCTTTGATGGGGAGCCTTCAAAGCTACAGGTAGTGCTGTATTTGGATGATGTCACTGTTGGGAATCCACTTCGTTCTCGGTCTAAACACCTGAAAATAACCACTGTGTACATGACTTTAGGAAACTTGAGGCCAAAATACAGGTCTAGACTACATGTCATTCAGCTGGTTGCTCTAGGCAAAACCATGGATATCCAAAAGTGGGGTTTGGAGCGGCTTTGTTTCCATTGCTTCAGAAAGTGAAGACTTTGGAGTCTGTTGGCATGCATGCATCCATTCAAGGGCATATTCATCACTTTTATGGTACTATCATCATGGTTGTAGCTGACAATCTTGCTAGTCACTCTTTGGGAGGGCTTTTTGAGTCATTCACATCCAATCGTCCTTGCCGCTTTTGCCTGATTCATCGGAAGGACATGCAAGATGGGAAGGTGGGTGCCAAACGAACCTCACAGAGCCACACAGAGCATGTGAAGCTCGTTCATGATGTGCCTGAGCTCTCCTCAGTGTATGGAGTTAAGTCATTTTGTTTACTTGATGAATTGACTCATTTCTCATATGTAGGTTCTTCACCTTCAGATATAACCCATGATCTTCTTGAGGGAGTAGCTGTTGACCTATTGGCTATGGTAGTGAATGCCAGCATTGAGGCAGGTTTCATCTCAATGGAATCCTTAGAGTATGTCGTGGAAAACTTTCCATACTTGCTATCACACAAAGTTGACAAGCCCACTGGTTTGAGATTCACTCATCCATTCAAACCATCTCTTACTGCTGCCCAGATGGCATGTTTTGTCCATCTGCTCCCCTTGATGATTGGAGCTCTCATTCCCATTGACTTTGAACCATGGAAGGTGTTCATACTTTTCTTAGACATCCTGGATAGAGTGTATTCTCCTAGAGTGTATTCTCCTAGAGTGTCTCGCAGAGATGCTTTGGTTCTGAAAGACCTGATTGAGGAATTCTGGGAGGCTGTTCTGGAAGTCTTTCCAGGCTACAAGTTGAAGCCTAAAGGTCACTATATGTTGCATTATTGGGAAGAAATGTTGCATTTCGGTCCATTAGTACGATGTTCCACAATCCGTTTTGAAGGCAAACATAATTTCTTCAAAGAAATTGCCAACAGGACAAAGAATAGGATAAATATCTGTAAAAGCCTGGCCCATAGACATCAGTTTCACCAGTGTGCCTATTATGGAGGAAAGTTTCTTCAACATACTAATGTCCATGAGAAAGTTTCAGCATTCAGTTTTCAGGACATTCCTGAAGACATCAGAGCTGGAGTGCCTAGTAATATTCCAGTTGAGCAAGCAAAATCAATAAGAGTAGAAGGAGTGCTCTATAAGAAAAGAAATTTTGTGGTGACTGGTTTTCAGAATGATTCTGGACTACTCATGTTTGGTAGAATAAGTAACATTCTCATGTTCAATGGAGACTATCACCTTTGTCTGCAAGATTTCTTCTCTTTACACATCAGTGAACACTATCATTCATATATCATTGAACCAAAAACAAGGTTTAGAATGTTGAAGTTGAAGGAATTGCTGGCTCCTTCCCAATTTCCCATGTATAATATTGAAAGTAAGAGTATGATTGTCTTGGACTATCACATTTCCAATGATTCTCTCTTCTGATGACAGTGATAGGTTAGAGAAATGAGGCAGTTCCATATAACTTGTGGAGACAACAAGAAAAGTATTGCTTCCCCCACAGAAGCCTCTGTGAGAGATGCCTTTGGCATTCCTTTGAATAGGGGGATTTTGCTTCAGGCTTACAATGGAGAATTTGAGGACTTTGTTGATATTTGTTATGATCATTTGAATGATTGCCAAGCAAAACGACTCAAAGTCATCATTCAAGGAAGTGTACAAAACCTTGGCAATCCATCTAACATCATCCCTCAAGCCTCTTGTGTTCTTCGTGACATTCACAGTGGACATAATGGACTCCTAAATGAGTCCCTGGACCATGTTCCATTAGGATGCTTGCCTAATGGTGATCAAGTGAATGAATTGGAATCTATTGGACTACATGGAGCAAAAGAGGTGCAATTGCAGAGAAGTGATATGTGTATTGGAGTTTCCATGAATTCATCCCAAGGATCAGATATAGCCTTTTCTGAAGTAGGGATGCAGGGTATCCCACCAAAGGATCAGAATGGATCGTAACTGCAAGGAGGGAAGAATAACTCTAACCTACAGGTTCGGAATTATGGTGCTACAGACATCAAGCTGTGAGTTCTCTAAGTGCTGCTATGAAAATAAAAATTGCAGTTGCATATTGAAGATGTCTTCTATTCATATTCCTTTCTTCATGCTGAAGGTCTTGCAGAGGGGTTGAATGGCCGAGAAATTTTACTTTGGGTGATTGCTTCAAATCTGCAGTGAATGGTGTCATTTCAGTCCAGGAAGAAGACTTGAGGAAGAAACAGAAAGGCATCATCCTTGATGCACTGATGCAAAGGGTGATGCAGTATACAATGTAAGATGAGCTTATCTTCCCCAATTCATATTTGTTCCTTTGGCAAAGAATGGGAAATCAATTATTATCAGGAAATGCTGAGTAAAAAAATTAACCAGACTTTGAAAATCAGTTAGAAAGTATAGACAGCAGCATGAAAATCAGAAAATATAATCTAGATTGCTCTGTCGATTTTACTGAAGAAAGTTAAGGTGAAGGCCTTCCACCATACAGGAGCCACTGGGACTAATACCTGCTCTGTGAAAACTTTGTGCTAAGGCTGAGCTGTGAAAAGGTGCTGTGGATCATCCATGTAAGCCTTTTTCTAAATATATGTCTCTCTGAGAGTTTCTCTCAAATGCTCATAAAAGGAAAATGCATAATTCTGCTCCAACTCTGGTTCACTCTATAAGAGCAAACCAGACCATAGTGATGTAAACTGAGTAGGACTGATGTAGAGTAGCTTTTTCCTCACTGGTTCTTGAGTGTGCTTCTGTATTTCTACCTTTAAAAAAATGTGGTTCTTTCATGGATGGGAACAAAGGAAGCAGTATGTATCTGTAACACCAAGCACTGATCAAGTTATATGAACCTTGAACTGAGCAAAGTATTGGGAAGTGGCAACTACAAATTGCAAGAAGTGATTGGAATTTTTCCTATACTATTCATGACATATCATCCCACAAGCTAATCCTGATATTATTTGCAGGACCCCATTGCCAGATCAATACAGGGATGTGTGTATTTCCCTTGTTGAAGAGTACCCCCAATGGATTCCAAAGGGGTTGTCCTCCATAGATGCCAAGGTAAGAACCAATGACAAATATTTGTGTAATTTTACATGCCTAAAAGGGGATCATGATGAAGGAAGGAGTTTATTTCCATTCCATGCTTTTCCAGAATGTTTGGACTGAGAGATTATCGATCAGGTTCCGAAATGCACGTCAGCGGGATAGTGATCACACCCCATTCAAGCGGCCAAAATTGCACACGCAGCAGGATTCAGCGGTCGCAAAGGGCCGGCCAGCATGGGGGGTTCTGAACTATTTACCCACAGAGGAGACTCCTGGCGAAGATGACTCAACAATCATATGCCACATCAACTGGATGAAAAGGGAAAACCTAAAGAAGAGGCAAGATGGACTTGGAATTAAAGTTAGAATGGATCGAACATTCACAGATCGGAGGAAGAAGATAGTAAATGAGAAGTTGTCCATTCATTCTCTCATGGAGACTTACCCTTGTCTCTTTTCAGCAGAGGAAGTAGGTAGCTTCTTCCCATCCCTTTCAAAAATATATCTGTCTTTGCCATGAATGAAAAGCTTTTTGATCTTTCCCCTAGTTCAGAAATGAGGCACAGCGCCTGTTTGGGGCAGACATGCACTTCAGATCAAGTTGTGAACTTCCAAACTTGCTGCTGAAAGTCAAAAAGGCAGTCAAGCCACTAAAGGATGTGCTCAACTGTGGTTAGACTTTGTTCATCATTTCTTTGTGACTGAAAACCTATGACTTGGAGTTATTTAAGTTTTCCATGTTGTTTTTCAGATGTCCCTAGCTCAGAGCTTTATGGATTACTGTGTTCTCACTTCAAAGAGCCTCCATGCCTCATCAGTTATTCACCATCTGTGAGTGTTGTGAACTTCCAAACTTGCTGCTGAAAGTCAAAAAGGCAGTCAAGCCACTAAAGGATGTGCTCAACTGTGGTTAGGCTTTGTTCATCATTTCTTTGTGAATCAAAACCTATGATTTGGGGTTGTTTAAGTTTTCCATGTTGTTTTTCAGATGTCCCTAGCTCAGAACTTTATGGACTTCTGTGCTCTCACTTCAAAGAGCCTCCATGCCTCATCAGTTATTCACCATCTGGTAGTACCTCCTAAACTTCTCATATTGAGCCTTCAAAGTTTTACTTTAATGAAGTCCCAAGTTGTGCTGTCAATTATAAGCTCACACTGTGAACTGCAGATTAAAATCAGTGACATCTCTAAAGGCTTTTGCAAGTTACCTGCAAAAAAATGTTGCACTGAATTGATTGATTTCCTTCATTTCCCCCAAGAAAATCCAGCCCTTTTCATTAGGTTTAGTATGTAACAGACTGTCATAATTTTCCCCTTGTGATGGTTCAATAATATGTATTGAAATCCTCTCAAGGCATGACAAATTTGCTGTGGAAGTTGTTAAAATATTTTCCTCAGCATAATTCCATTAATTTCATCTTAATTTCAGCTGTCAGAAAATTGTGAAGGACTCCCAGTTGCAGTCAAGGGCGATGGATGGAAACTCTTTTTTGGCAGAGTGGAAGTGGATGAACTGGAATCAGATGACCTGCTTTTCTACATTCTTTGCTCCTTCTTCATATTTAACATTGAGTTCCCTCCATGGAATAGAAAGACATTAGACATATTGCAAAGGTGCCTATTCAGTCTTACAGTGGCTCCATTGTGTCAGCCAGTAAGGCGTCTCTTGATGAAGCTCAAGTAAATCCCAAGAAATTGGTGCATACATGCTATTAGAGATATTCATAATTTCATTTAAGAAAGAAGCTCTGGAAAAATATAAGTTGCAAGAAATTGCAATTTAACTGTTTATGTCCATAGTTACCATGGAGGAAAGATATGTGAACTTGTGAATGTTCAAGAATTATGTGCAATATTTTCAGTTTATTTTTTT